CTTCTTGCTTCAGAGTACCCCATGCATAGAAATCTAATGGCGTTAAGTCGGGCGAACGAGTTGCCCAATGTACTGCTCCTCCACGTCCAATCCATCGTTGTGGGAATTTTCTATCTAACCAGGTTCTAGCGACTCTGCTGTAATGAGCAGGGCATCCATCTAATTGAAACCACATTTCAGTACGTTGTTGTAATGGGATGTTTTCTAAATAATCAGAAAATTCATTCTCCAAGAAATTTAGAAAACGGTCCCCATTTAATCTTGCAGGTAAAAAAAACGGTCCCACTAAAACGTCGTTCCAAATTCCAAGCCAGACATTAACAGAAAACTCTTGCTGAAATTTGTATTCTCTAACAGACCTGGGATTTTGATGAGTCCATATATCATAATTCCTTTGATTAATTATTCCACCTCTGGTAAATGTTGCCTCATCTGACCACATTATTTTAGATGGAAATAAAATATCATTGTGGCATGTCTGAAGGTACCAGTTACAAAAGTTCAATCTGTTCCAATGATCTTGAGGTAATAAATTTTGCACTTTTTGAATGTGGTAGGGATAGCGATTATCTCCTTTTACAGTTCGCCAAATTGTTTGTGGTGACACTCCCAATACAGCCGACGCATTCCGAACGCTGGTCTCAGGATGATTGTCAAAATGTTGTAAAATACGATTCCCTGCCTGCAAATCTCTTCGTAACGCTGCTTGAAATCGGTTGTTTTCTTGTCGAATTGAAAATGATCCAGTCTCTCGCAATCTATTAAATGTCAACATAAACACTCTTCGGTTTGGCACTCTTCTGTTTGGAAATCGTCGTGCATATTCTCGCACCGCCTTTAAAGCATTACCGTTGCAGAAACCGTATACAAAAACCATATCAGCATATTCACTATTAGAATACGTACGCGGCATATTGCAAAAGACAAAATTCATCTACTGTTAAAGGCTTTCAAAGAGCGACTGACAAATTCATAACAGAAAGTGGAAAATGTAATCAAATATGTCGGTGCTAGATATGGCAAGAAATGTAAACATTTTTTTTCGATTTCTCTGAAACGGAGCAAAAACGAGCATATGTCTATAGGACTTTTTTTCTTAGTTTTTTACTCCTCTACACGCTCCCGAAGTTTTGCGATTTAATTTGGAAACACCCTGTATATAATTAGTAAACATGTGGTCACATCAGAACATGCCATAGCATGCTTTATAGCGAAAGGGGGGGTATGTTTTTCGAGCATTCTTAATTTATTACAACTTCAGAAAATGAAGTCTAATCGACTTATCTTCATCTGACAATTTTGGGGCTCTGGAGTCACCGCCTGAAATATAATTAAGAATCACCCTGTACATCTTACAAAAAACAACTGACTCTCATTACCCCTTTCTAGGATGAGCACATTAGTTCAATGACATTGTATAGCAAGGTAAAGGGTTACTTATAAATGTCATCTGCACACCCGCTGTAATTCGCAATATTACAAGTACTCGTAATTAAGTGCAATGTTCTTTGAGTCTTTTTTTCACGCTTCAAGTCAGCTTTATAAAGTGCTTTCACTCGCACATTGTTACAGGAGTAAAACGTTTGTGTAAGATATTATAAAGTAACAGTAGAGTATTTTGCAGCACAGTCATCTGGGATCTATATATTATCTTTTCATGCTTTGTCTATTGTATGTGTGATCATATGAGAGAAATTATTTGTATAAATATATAATAGAAAATGTTTTTGCATATTCTTGATAATTGCTGGATACATAGATTCTATAATCTGACGATGTATTATGTGTTATCAATTATTTTGATATAAAACAATGTATTTATTGATTGTTATTGATTGTTCGTTATTATGTACATATAATTATATGCAGGCGACTCCTTTACGCTATCGCATTATAGCTGTTAATCTTTTGAAAACTCGATATCATATTGTTATTTTTGATCTTTCAGCATTACATTTTAATTTGGCGTTATTGTTTTTTTTTTTACAATTTAAATTTATTCTTTGATATTAATATAACTACCATTATTTATTAGAATTTAAAGGAGAAATTGCGATAGCTCCAGAGCACTCTGTATATATAACTAGTTATTGTATAACACATACATATATGCACAATTGCAGAATATTTTAAGCAAATTCACGTAGTCAGTCGGAATTGAGATATTTGAAGGCAATTACAAATTGAGGGATTTAATTGAGAAGCAGCAAAATAAGTGGATTTAATAATATTGAATAATATTTGATGTCATAGTAATCTTTTCTCTCTATCCACAAAATACGAAACATGCTGTAGCTATTGATTTCATATTCATGATTTCATATTCATATTCATGAAATTGTCACTTATGTATTTGCTTCTAATCCCTCCAATTTAGCTTTTTTTAATATACTATTAATTACTTTTTTAAATTCAGGTCATATTCAGTCAAAGTTCGGATTTGATGGAAAGGCAATCGTCTATGGCTTCTTCAACGGAGGAGGTTTCTGGTGCGAACAATGATTTAAGTGGAGGATCCAGACGGGATGACGAACAGTTTGGCGTATTTAAGGACTTCGATTTCCTTGAATATGAAAGCGAAAGCGTTGAGGTAAGCTTATAATTCATTACGCTTCATTACTTTTGAATGGAGAATATTGATTTCAATTTCCGTTAAACTTTAAAGGGCGAAAGTACCGATAACTTTAACTGGGGAGTTCGACGTCGTCCTCTTAGCGAGGGAGAGGAACGAGAACCCAGTTTGCGACAGTTCGAGGAAAGTTTAAGCGAGAAGACGCCGTCATCCAGCAAACATACAACGCGGGTAAATATGTAAAAAAATTAAAATTAGTTTTATTATGTATATATAATTTATGTTCTTTATATACTTTTTACCTTTTTAAATTATTTGTTTATATATATTAATAAAATTCTGAATGTACGTAGCGCGGTGTTACCGAAGAATCATCAGACGACGAGGCAGGATCAGAATCACCCTTGGACGAGGTACCAGGAGGGTCTGGAACAGGACAGGAGGCAAATAGCATCCCGGGAATGTTCCCGCCGTCTTCTCTCTCGTTGATACCTAGTCGCACGCGTCACGATTCATCTACAAGGTCTGATACATCGTAAGTTTCTGTGTGAAGACCTTTGGAAATGCGTATATTAATCGTTTTATTTGAATTTTTCACCTATAGCGGCTCAAGTGCGGGAGATCTCGGCGACGTTACGCCTTGCAACGCGTCACCGAACTTGTCCGCGTTGATACCCTTCCGACAAGTTGTACGAGACGACGCCGAAGAGATCTGGAGGCAGCAAATTCAAAGTCTCATCACTCAAGCTCCGTACAATACTTTAAGCTTCTTTCAGTTGCTGAGCAAGATCTTGAGGGTAAGCTCCAAAAAATATAATTTATTTTATTAAAATAAGAGCAAATGATGAATAGATTGTTATTTTTCCCAAACAAAATTATTTAAAAAATCGGTATGTTTCAGGATGTGAGCAGTAAATCTGTCGGTCTTACGCGCGAGGCAAGTGCCTTGCTTTCTAACGGCAGCTCGGCTTCAGCTCACTTAGGTTGCCATTTATCTGGTCATGCCGAGTTACTTAGTTCAAAAGCTGAGCCACCTTTAGTGTGGTTCTCAGTGGTGATATTCGCAAATCAGCGGCTAAACGAGACGCTACGCTTTGGAATGCTGGAAGTTCAAGAACATTTAGAAACATTTTTGGATAGGAAGGATCATGCTACGGAAGTAAGTTTTGTTAAAATACTTGATAACGATTATTAAGATAGACAGTCATGGTGTTCATTTTCTTTTTAGTGCTTGGAGGCAGCTAAAGCAACCGCTAAGCTTCAAGCATTAGGCGGCAGTCACACCACGGAAGCAGGCGTTGAAGAGATGTTGTTGGATCTAGGCAGAGCGCTCTATAAATTACACTTCCAGCTACTTCTGCTGATTGAAGCATCGAATAAAATGTTAGGGGCACTAATGAATGCCGCTAGAAACGTACAGATTCCTTTGCAAGATCTATCAGTCGAGATCGCTAATATGAAAGTAGCATTAAGCAGAGCGCTTGAAGAAAGCACCGAAAGTGAACGAGGGACACCTACCCCAACACCTAGTCCTAGTCCCCTACCGGGTTCCGGAGCCGTGGAAGAAGTTGCGAGAGTCGCCGAACTTTTGAGAAATGCACGGTGGTGTCCAGCGCTCGAAGCCGTAAGACTGCACAGGGCACAATGGCCCGGAGATGCTTTTCACGATGACGATGACGTAACGACGGCCGTTAATATGTATTGCAAATATATAGGTCAAGATAGATCAGGTGAGTTTAATAGATGCTGTATTAAATACTTAATAATATTTTAACAGCAGTTATATACAGCATATTTTTTATTTGAAGAAAGACGATAGAAATGTGAAAAATACTTTGAATATGTAATTTTAAAAAACTCAAAATAAGCTCTTTTATGAATTGTATAATGTCATTCATTTTTTAAATATTTGCATGATCTACACTATTAGACATAACAATACATAAAATACATATATTGTTTATTTTGCATCTTAATATGTTGTAGATATATTTGTCGTGACGAGGAAGGACGACGAGATGTCAGAAATATTTGGCAGACTGATGGAAAGTCTGTTTGAAGTGCTAGCGGCTGTGACAGGCTTGGAGGCGTCTACGAAAGCCGCGCGTAATCAGCATGACTCTAATCACTCGAAAAACGAATGTTAATATAAGCTTTAATCACGTAGTTTATTCGCGAATCGTTCTCGTATAGATTTAAATCGACGTATATACATATTTAATTGTCGTACATATGTAGATGTCTTGTATACGATGGTAGGTAAATGTATATACCTATATCACGAAAAAAGTTCTTAGATCCGTCGTTCTGTTTTTTTTTTTAATGCGAAGAATGTAACGAATCGCTATCGATTGTAAATTTGACGAAATAAATCATCGAGATCTTCAGGATTATGTTTTTAAATTCACACACAACCTTTGTAGGATCCCTTATCACAGGATGGTTATGCGAAAAAGGCGATTAGGGTATAATATACGACCTGCGGAAGATCAACAGGTTGAATCTTGTCAAGATGTGACGCATTTCGTGAGACGATTCGTTGATTCTGCGTTTATCTCCGCAATGAAGATTGTCGCTGTGATGGTTCGTTAAACTTCTTGTCTGTCAATTACGGTATAATGTCCATAAAATTTCATATATATTATTGAAACGGTATCTCACGTTGTATATATAACAATTGTCTGTGTTGCTCTAAATAATTCTTACTTATATCATTTGCTCTTAATTAGGATCATGAGTTCTCGCTTAACTACATAAAATGGCCTACGTGTGGAAATATGAATGCACGAAAAGGCCTGCGATGTGTGAAAGAGGAGATGTTCCGATGGAACCAATTATCGGTACAATTGAAAAAGAAATCGCATGTCGAGGGGAGAAAAAACGAAATAACACATTTTGTTGATCCTCTTAGGCTTTGAGAAATTGGATGTTCCATGTAAAGTTTATCAGCCTTAACAAAGAAGGCACCGCTGAATTCTACGTGTATCACGTTCTATGGAGCATACCCACACCGGCATATCCGGAGCCATATGTGACTGTCAGCGTGTTCTTCTGCATCGCGGCGAGTCGCGTGCAGCCGCCGCACTTTCCAGTCGACGTTAGTTTATTATGTATATTTTCAGCTCTTTCCCCTTGCGCTCTCTCTCTCTCTCTCTCTCTCTCTCTCTCTCTCTCTCTTTCTTTCTCTTTTGTGTGCATCTCGATTACACGTCAACAGAGAACGAGTAGATCTGGATAACATCGGGAATCACTTTTAACATGTTTTATTATAATTTGAGTATGATACAATATAAATATTTGTAAACTATAAAAGTATTACATATATACCATTACATTTATACGAACTTGTATCTGAAGTAATAAAAGATACTAGCCGGAGGTTTTATACATCATGTAATAGCCGCACATGTTAAATTAAAGATTTACATTAAATGCGCTTTCATATAACATAATTTTTTAATAGGTCACATATGTATTCGAGGGACATCAGTTTGTGCATCGGTTAGACGTAGTTTTTCAACCGAAGTGGCTTTATGACATTCTCGACATGAAGACTATGCTGTTCAAAACTTTTACATTTTAAGATATCTGTTCCTCTTAATATTTCTTTTTAAAAAAAGCTGCATTTTCTCTCTTTTAAAATTATCTCTAATTGTGAAACAATTTTTTTTCTATGGATTAATTATAATAAAAATTCGTATGTGTAAGTGGCAATGAAAACGTAATACATCTCAAACATATCCTACGTATTTGAACGTAAGCACGATTCCTCCGTGTTGCACCGTGAAACGGCTGCAGCTTTTCAAGGCAGATTTTTAAGTGCCTGCACCGTGCAGAATGTCGTAAAAGTAAGAGTGTCAGATTTCCGCGAATCGGGCACGCGCCGGCCGCAATCTGGTCCAGCACCGGACGCCGTTTCATTTCACTCAGTTAAACAATACGAGCAGGTGATATTCCGTAAGAGAGAACGCACCGCGCGTTGCCATATTGCCGTTCCCAATCACATATTTACGACCTTTGCATTAAATCATTAACACCAATCGTTACAGCATTGACAGCGTTTCCTTGTCTACAGCTGTAGAAACGAAACAATAAATGTAAAGTCAGAAAATTTATTGAGTTGATTTATTGGGGTATAATTTCTTATAAAAATTTTAATATACGTTAAAATAAATATTCTTATTTTTTGTTTGATTTAACCGTATGTCGCTTTAGTTTTATAGAATAATTATAGAAATTCGAAATTTCACAATAAAAAGTTCTTTAGAGAAAATGTTATTATATATATTACTTGAAAATCGATCTTCTTCCCTTCTTTATGCAAATTGATTTCATTTATAAACAATGTCTTCATAAAATAGATATCAATACGTGATTGGTGGTTTTATTCATTCTCTCCCACGAAGTTGATGCACTCCTACAAAAAGCCTACTACAAAAAGAATCTATTTACAATCCCGCGGAGGACACCGAGGAGGTGTGAACCCTGCGTTGGTCCCTGGACCCGATCCTGACTTCTTTTACGCATTCTCGGCTTTGAATAATAAGACCGACGAACGAATGAAACAATTCGACAACCAGAGAGGGCCTTCTCTTGTGCACATGCGGGCCGACCGACGCCGGGAGGTCTCTCGGTGTCTCAGCAGGAGCCAGAAGAGAATAGAGATGGCAAGCCACGTGTTGGACAAATCGAAATCCGGAGACGTGATTGTACGTTTAACAATATCGACTTAATTTTTCTTCTTAGGCATCCAAAATTCAATTATTTCAGCATTCTACTATGTCTTTCGATATTCTAAAAGCTTTTGGCATGTTGTGTCTATGTGCAAATGGTGTATGCTATAAATAAATTTATATATATTTTTTTTTAATTTAATAACTGTAATTTAATAACTGTAATGAATGATCTACCATACTGTAGACGTTGGATTCGACTAGAAGTGAAATTTAACGAATCTTATGACCGACACGATTTTTTTTCCTTCTGTTGAGGATCCGTTCTCCAAATGTGGAAACGACAGATTGCTCATCGTTTCACAAACAATCAATCCGTGTTATGTGGGTCAAAGCGATATCAGTTTACGACCGCCAACCGCAGTGGCAGCAACCACCGCCTATTTATACGATGCTGGGCTTTTTGTCAGTCGCGGGGTGGTTCTTGTCCTAAACATCACATCCGCCGAAATGTGTGCTTCCTACGCTGACCGAGAAAAGGAGGCTCGCGAGGGACCGCGAGAGGCGGCGAAGACGAAGCGCGAGGGAAGCTACGACAGGAACCACCGCCTCGCTTTCTTCAGTGGCTTCAAACATCCGCTGCACCAGCCGCTACCAGATTTTTCGTTTACCCCCTGCCGCCTCAGTTTGCGCCACAAAGAAACGCTCGTACACGCGTTCATTTCCCCTTTTCGTCAGAAGCGAAAGGATGCGTTTCTATTCGCGGTTCTCGACGTTTCTCAAAGCCTTCGCTTCGTTTCCGGTTCTTCTATGACGTCGTGTTCTCTTTTACGGACTGCACAGTTGGAAATTCAAAATTAATATACATAGATATAAATATAGTACAATTAAAGAACATGTACAGATATTTATTATGTGTATACTTGTGTATATATATAAAATAGGACATATACACACATATTATACTATTTTACACATATTATTATTTTAATTTATAGGAGCAGGAAACATTTAAAATATTTAGCACTCGATGCGCAATTTCTTAACGATACGTAACGAGAAGGCTCTCTTGATCGATTGTGACCACGTGTCTCAAAGGAAGAGGGATTGCGAGATACATCTGGACCAAGACGATCGGACATGTCGGCCTTCTTCGAGACGAGAGAAGCGAGAAGGGGGATGACCGGTGGACGTTGCGCGACCAGCGCGCGACAGGCATTGTATACCGGATCCGCGTGCGCGCGTGAGAGGCAGCAGCTCGTCGAATCACCAGCTGCCGATTCGCCGGGTCGACTCCTGGAAGCACGGGAGTCGATCTAAAATTAGCGGCCCCAGCATGGCACCCCCGCCTAGCCCTTACATGGCCACGTCACGGGCATACACTCGGCTACTTCGAAAGAGAGACATAGAGAGCAAGAGAAAGAGAGGAGAGAAAAAGGGAAACAATAATAATCGCAGCTTGCTCGGCACGAGTTGATCACGCGCGAGATCTAGCAGCTGGAACTTGTCGACAAACAGCGCAATCGGACCTTACTCCAGAAATCATTACTCCAGAATTAATGGTGGAAGCTTGCATTAGCAAAATTAAAAGAAAACTTTGCATTGCATTGCAAAATAGTCTACATTCCTTTTCGCAGTTACCAAGTATAATGGAGCTCTATTTTTTAATAGAAAAAAAAAGAATGCTCTATTTTTTAAATAGAGATCTATGGTTTTTATAGGGAACTATAATTCGTTTTATAATTAATTTAAATATATGATCAAATGCAAAGCTGCGAATATAAGATACACTTAGCATACTTAACATAATTCTTTTGTTATATTTTACACATACATGCATATGTACAGGTATATATGATTTTGAGCTATTCTTATAATTTTTCCTAATATAAAACTTGGTACAAAGTACTAGAATCTCTTTATTATCATTGTACGAGACAGGAAGTGCCGCAAGGGTTGGCAATGAACCACATGGCTGCCGGATGAATGAATGGTGTAATGAACGAAGTCATATATGCCCTATCCAAGATAACGCGTTAACGTGCTGTGGGAAAGTTCCCAATGAAGTGCCGATTAATATCAAACGAGATAATATATCTAATTTTTATTCTCATTACTTCTTTGATTGAAGAGTCGATTCTTCAAAAAAATTCTTATTAATGTCCATTTCAAATATTGGATTGTTTTAAAATAATTTAAATATCCCCGTTATTTGAACTTATTTCACGTTTTCATGAATACATTAATAATTCTGGTATAAATAAAATGAACCGAATATATGAATGTGTGTGTATGTGGAGATTACAATAGAAATGCAATGCGCTTGAATCCGAACTTCAATCTGAACCATCCGGGTAATATCCAAAGAATTCAAAAAGAGCTGAGAGTCTCTTGCGCGCGGTTTATTAATCGCGTTTCGCGGATCTTCAATCTAATTCATCGTACCGGATACATCTTCGTAGATCGCTTAACGAGAGATCCTTTGCGAGAGACTCCTTGTAGGAGGAACGAACCCCGTTCCGCAGTACATCTGCGTCGAGCGGATGCAGACTGCATTTTATGACCGCCCAATGCACAACCGATTCTTATTCGTGCACCCGCACTCACACCCTCCATCGTTCTCCACCGAGCGGTACAACGACTTCTATAATTAGATCCCCTTCCTTCTTTTGAGCTTAGACACCTTCGCGGCCGCGAGTGATCTCTTGACCTGTGAAAGAGAAAATTAAAAGGAAGATTAGAAGAATATTAAAATATTTTAAGATTACATAATTTTTCAACTAAATGGATACTTATACCAGGGTTGTTAAAAGTTACTTTCTCGTTACCATGTCGTTACTTTTTATAATAAACAATTTGATAATGACGTTGCAATTTTTTATGACGGTAACTAACTGAATGCTAATAAGGTTGTGCTGGAAAAGTCACTTTGAAAAGTAATTTGTTATCATTCCGCGTTATTCACTGAAAAAATTAAAAGTAACGAGTATAACGAAGTAACGAAATAGTAACTTTCAAATGTCGTTATTCGTTACGAGAAATTGTAACTGAATTACCATTACTGTTACTCGCTAGGAAAGATAATTACGTAAAAAAAAAGGTAACGAAAAGAATTCGTTACTTTTTTATGTAACTTATATTGTACAACTCTGACTATACATATATCAAATAAATTTCGTTAATGAACATCTTATTCTCCTAGTTAAATTCAGAAATTAAAGGTGTAATTTGTTTTGTCAACATCTTTCACTGAAAATTAATCGTAGATTAATCAACAATCCACAGGTTTGGACTCAACGACGACTTGAAAGAGCTACGCGTTCCACGTGTCATAGGTTTCACTTCGGCTATTTCGAACAGGTTGCGCTCGTATCTATTTTTCGATCATTGGCATCGGTCGGATCCACGGATTCTTGCACTGCCGACGACAGGTAGACACGAATATAATATAAACGGTGATAGTTAAATTGAGTCACGATACATAAGCGCGATCCAAACACTCGCTATCATCGTCGTTGTAGATACTGTTTAATCGTTGGTCATCGGCCAAAAACTCGCCTCTAAACTTATTACAGCCATGCAAAATCGCGATATTTCGATTCAAAGTGCCAGTCTGCTGACGTATCTTCCAGTTAGACTTTTTTAATAACGTTCTACAAGACACGATCGTGTTCTATTTGCTATTTCTATTAAGGGTTGATCACATCTGTGCAAGATGTCTTCAATTATGATGTCAGAAACATAAAATTAGGCGAATGCCGATTGCAACTTTACATAAGAGTTGCACAAATAACTTACACAAATATATAACTAACTAGATAAAAATATAACTCTCTTTTTTATTAAAATTAATATAGCATACATCAATGGGAATTCTACTACAAATTCTTATTAAATTATCTTCAGAATA